AAGTTCAAGTCCATGTCCATGTCCATGTCCGATCCTAAAGAAAATAAGGTGGTTTTTTTTTTAAAAAAAAAAAAAAAATAAAATAAAATGACCGGATTATCTGATCAATCCGGTCATCCGCTCAATCCAATGTTATCCGAGGATTACATCTGGATTATTCGCGATCCGTTCATTCATAATCCAAATGATCCGTTTTTTGATCAGATCGGATGACGAATTGAACAGATTTCACCGGAGCATACCTCTATCATCGCCTGTAGGTTTATCACGAGGAGGTTTAAGTTCTATATTGAAATTATAAAGTTTTCCATTTTCAATTAACTGGTCGCAAAGAAACTTGATGCGTCGGCGTAATCATTCAGAATCCATCACCGAATTCTTCAATAAGGAATGAATAAATTTAATATCATCTTCAAGTCCTCGGATTATTCCTTCAAGTTTTTCATTCATATTACGTTCCTGAGATAAGAGAGAAGAATATTGAATTAATAATTTTTTTAAATGTTCATGGTTAGCAGAAAGCAAATCATATCGAAATTTCAAATTGGTGTCTTCAGGATTTTCTTTCAAAGGAGTTTCTTGGACTGTTTTCGTATTCTCTATTTTTCAAGAAGGCTAAAAAGTTAATATGCTGCAGTCATATTAAGTGAGATTGAATATACTGTCATAGTCCTCGGACGTTGGATGGGATGCATATATCAATCGAGCTGAACATAGTCAGTACGAAATGCGTTCCATTCAACAGCCGTCGTGTCTGCACCATTCTTAGGTATACCCAGGCTCACCTTGATGAACTTTTTCGCTGAAATATTCTCTTTGACGAGCTCTAGCTCTGCGACGAGTGGCAGAAGACTTTTTCTTTTTATTTACTCGAACCATGATGGAAGTTGAAAAATATTCTGAAAAGTTTAGGATTTTACAATAATTTTGGTAGGAAAGTAAAATTTTGAAGAAAATGGAAGAAAATTTTAACGAATATTTATAAACAAAGCAAGTGGCTGTGTCAAACTCTTGGAA